GTAGATGCATATTCTCTTGTCTAGAACCCAACCACATAGTCATCTTTTAAAAGAAAGCACCATGTTTTCCTTATTTCTGTATCTGCTGAGGTCCACTCCCCAGCAGCGGCTCACTCAGTATTTCATAGGCAAATGGACTATAATAGAATAGGTTCTAAAGTACATACTTAAGTTCTCAGGTATAATCAAAATCATTGCTGAGAACTCCTGAGGAAGGTACTACACTGCAGACCTGACACACTGTCTCAACATGGTCAAGCCCAGCAGATCCGCCTCCAGCACTGAAACCCTGTGGTTTCTTCAGACAAACACCTGTGGTTACAACGCACTTACTGACACCGATTTAGGAAAACTATGTATTTTTAAGCATCGGAGCTTATATCTCATGAAACTCTGGATGCCAAGTAGAAACTGACATGGCATAAAAGAGTAGCAAATTTATTTCTTATCTTACCATGACTCTCTGAATACACTTACCAAGAAAAATGGCAGAGTCACATATCCTTCCTATCTCTCTACCTCTATGTTGTCTCTTGCTGACCCCATTTCTTTTATTTTTTTTAAAGATTTAATTTATTTATTTGACACAGAGAGAGACAGCAAGAGAGGGAACACAAGAGGAGGAGTGGGAGAGGGAGGAGCAGGCCTTCCTCTGAGCTGGGAGCCTGACGCGGGAGGATCATGACCTGAGATGAAGGCAGAGGCTTAACAACTGAGCCACCCAGGTGCCCCTTGCTGGCCCCATTTCTTGAATTCAAGTAAGCTAACAGCAATTATGATGGAATCCCCACTGAACCGACAGGCCTATAAGCAGGCACTGTTGATTTCTTACACCAATATCCTCTCACCATCCACTTCCATCAAGATGTATTTAGTGCTTTAAACAATACCAGCAAACACAGGGATGGTAACAGGCCTGGCTGCAAGCATGCTAAATTCCTGTGCAATCAGGCTGAACGAAATCCATATATTCACAAAAAAAATGTGAATGTCAGGAAAAAAATGTCTCAACTGCTATATTTCTATTTCATGATAAAATATCCCAAAACATAGGTGAAAAGGATGCTGTTGCTAATTAGAAATCAAGACAACAAGTATGATTTAAGTAAAAACTGGGCTAGTTATAATTACTTCAAGAGGCCCATCAAGGAAGCCCACCTCAGGGTACAGATTGGGTAGGAAGAGACTTGAAGATGCTGCCTTTTGGGTGAGCTCTGTTTACCAGAGCTCCCTTCCTTTATTTCTTTTAAAAATATTTTACTTATTTATTTGAGAGAGAGAGAGAGAGAGGAGCAGAGGGAGGAGGATAAAGAGATCTGCACTGAATGCTGAGCCTGACACAGGGCTCGATCCCACAACCCTGTGCTCATCACCTGAGCCAAAACCAAGAGTGGGAGGCTTAACTGAATGAGCCACCCATGTGCCCCCAGAGCTTTCTTTTCAACAGACCCGTCTCTTAGATGCCACCCAGAGGTTTCCCACGGGGTAACCGTCCCCCCCACCCCCACCCAGCGCATCGACGAGTGCTGGTGTGGACTGCCTGGGTGAGTTTATAGCTTCCCTTACTTTACCTCTATTTCAACCTTATTTCCAAACATAAGTACCATGTTTAGTATTTTTTCTATAGCAATGGAGTTTTCTACATTTCTAGGAAGCATCCCTGGCCAGAATAAATGCCACGGTGAACCTAAAGCAAAACCAAAATTAAGTAAGTCACCCTAAAGATATACTGAACATAGATTTCCCTTGCAGAAGTGATAAATTTAAGAATAGAAATAATCACATCACGTCCCAAGAACTAAATAACTATTCGTATTTATAAAGTACATTCAAAAGTACATCTAAAATGTATTTAGAAATACCTAATAACTTTAAAGAGAGAAAAATTGGGAAATTATATATACAGAACTTTCATTTTCCCTAAAATCTTCTAAATATAATCAAAATTTCCTTTAATATATATATACACAGCAATGCTGTAATTACTATCCATGCACTTGAAAATCACACACCACATCCAGAGTCCGTTCACCTGCTGCAATCTGTGAAATAATTTGGTCTTTATCTATAACATGTTCTCGAAACAGAAAGTCTGAAACAAGAGAGAAATAATGTAGGAGTTTCAGTGCTAAAGAAAGCCATCTGGCTAGTCTGAAAATCTGCTTTTGTGTGTAAAATTGTTTCAACAATCATCAGTTAATTAATCCCAGAAGTATGCGAGGTTTAGAACGAGAGTGTGGGTGCAGCGGCCCCCAGGAGGCTCCAAAGCTTCCCTCAGCGCACAAGAGCCCTCTCCCTCCCGTGAAGTCCCGTGGTTCTTCGTCTGCAGTTCCGATAAAGCGGTAATTACCACCTTACACCCAGTGTGCGTACTGTACCTTGCCTTCCCCACTTGCCTGTAAACTCTTTGAGGGTAAGATCTATGTTGATTCAGAGTTTATGCCTCACCATAACTACCCAGGTGCCTTGCACAAAGCCTCAAAAAATACATAGTTTATAAATACACTCACAGGCACTCCCTCCTGAAAAAAAAATTCAAGTTTTTTCCCCCAAAATAAACTATGTAGTACATTACTTTGTGTTTTTTTCCCCCATTTCTCAGCAGTTTCCAGTTTAAAAATCCGTTAATCCATGCTCCCAGAGAGAATTTATTCGTCCAATTCACTTAACCTACTCATTCAAACCACCCAACAGACACTTGTCGAATTCCTACTTTGCCAGGTAGTGTGAAAGGTGCTGGGCTTACATCAGCAAAAAAGCCTTAGGGAGCTCAGAATCTAGCAGGAAAGACATACAGGTCAGTAAGTAATTATAAAACAAGGTGATAATTGTTATAACGGATGTAAAGACATGATACTCGGTAAGAGTATTTCTCCAATTTAAGAGTGCTTCCAGTTTCTCTTTGTAGTTTCTCATTTTCCTGATCTTATGGTCTTCCGTGGTCATCTATCTATCAGACCATCCGTCCCCCAGCCTAATCCTTCCTTCATTTCTTAAAGACATAATATATACCTGTGGTACAAAATACAAAAACTGCTCCAGAATGCATCAGTGAGAAAGAAGTCTTCCTCCTACCTTGTCCCCAGCCACTCGTTTATCTTCCCAGCCCAGTGCACAACCGCGGAGGCGGTCAACGCACACGGTCAACGCACACGCAGAGACACGGATCCCGGGCACGTGGTCCTACTCTCGGTTACCCACGACAAGGGCAGCTTCCGCCTCTCCACCTTGTTTCTTTCACTTCACAGAAATTGTTCTCTATCAGCCCACGTGGGCCGCCTTCATTCTTTTTAATGGATATCAAGTATTCCGCGGCTTGGATCCCACATAGTTTATTTAAGCATCTCCTCAGCAAATGCTCATCTGAGGCTCTGCAAATGCTGCTGTGAACGTGTTTATCCGTGTATCACCCTGTGGTGTATCTTTGAATATGTCTGTAGGATGTATTCCTGGAAGTGAAACTGGGCTCGAGAATACGAGCGCTTTTTGCTTTGATAGATGCTAACATAGAGGATTCACTGGTTTAATTTCCCACAAAACAAGAAATACCCACCTTCATAACGTAAATTATTAACCTTTATAGAAATGGCTCACAAATCTGTACCCAGAGTTCTGACCCCTTACTTATTTTCTGTGGTATCTCTGTGATATTTCCACGATCTTTCGACATACACATTTCTTTGGATCCTTAGGAAAACCCTTTTTGAAACCAAATTTACAGTCTTACCCTTGACGCATTCTCTCTAAGTTTACTTAGTTAGTTCTCCCTGATTCCAACTCAAAGCCACTTTCGACCCTTCCCCCATACCCGATTCCCTGGTCATTAGGGCGGACCGGTCCTGCGCAATTTCACAAAGTTCATTGTCTTTGTACTTTTTCAGACCACCTCGGAGCGCAGTGCCTGGGCTATTCTCATCCAGCCACTTGGGTTCTCCTTGCCTTGTGCTCACCTGGTGCTTCTGTTCACGTGATCCCCTCTGCCTAAAGAGTCTCCAGCTGAAATCCCAGGAAGCCCGGAACGTCTGCCCTTAATGCTGGATCACCCAGAGAGCATTTTCGTTTTTTTTTTTCATAAAGCATTTTCTAATACGAACGGATAAGCACTTAGGTCTTTCACTGTGTGTTCTTATTTATAAGGTAAATTACAAACATCTTCATAGAAAGGATGACGTCTTAGCACCTTCTGGCAAGCCCACACTGCCTTGGCATTTCAAATGTGATTACCTAATGAATGGATGAATGCTTGCAATGAAGGAATTCCTACAAGTCAGATAATTCTATACAAGAACATATTCTGTAGAGGATATTTAATCCATTTACTTTGGAAAATATTTTCAGGTCTGTGAAGTAAAATCCCCTATTTAATAATTAAATTTATTTCAGAAAACCCACAGTGTAAAATATTTCCAATTAACTATTCCAGTAAATAGAAAATTCCCTCACACTGATACAAAACAGGGAGGACAAAGGGCAGGGAACAAAGGAATAGGACGCTAACTGCATTTCTCTTCAAAACTACAAGATCCTTTCAAGTCTCTCAAATGTAGTCAAGGTTATCTAACTACTAGGTAAAAGAAGAGGGAACTCCACCACGATGTTACTATAGACTATGGTTCAAGTGAGTTGAAGATGGGCTAAATAATCTTTTACCAGTTTCACAAATACTTGGAAAGAACTTTGCAAAGCATCATAAATCCTCTATTTCCAGCTTTCCAAATTAAATCATACGTTTTCCATTAAGCATATTTGTGCTAAAACATTTTACATTAAAAAAATACAGAGAGAAAAAGAATAGGATTACGCTTTCCAATACGTAAAGGCAGTCATGAAAAATATAAGCGACCATTAGAAATGATTCAGCTCCCATCTCCTCAGGAGCTACGTAAATCCTTGCCAGAAGTAGAAACCTGTTACATTATAACTTATATTTTCAGTAATTAAGAAAAACGATGACAATACTACCATGCATATGCAAGTGCTGCGTTTACTTCTTGACTCACCTCTCCCCCATTTACATATTCCATCACAAAACACAAACGGTCTTTTGTCTGGAAGGAATATTTCAAGGACTTGAAATGAAAAAGAAAAAATGTTACATTATAATCCAGTATTCTTATAACAATACCAAAATAGAATACTTAGAAACAGTAAGCTTGAGGGTTGGAACGAACTGTTCTTGTCCTGAAGAGTCTACTTACTCCTTAAGAGAGCTGAAGAGTTTCGAAGGACATAAAACAAATTTTGTTTAGATCAGCATTGGCTACTGTTAGGGGAAAGGTTAAAATTAAAATTTTAAGTAAAAATGCCTTAGTAATTATGATGAGCACCTCTCGGTCTATTGTGCTGTCTCTCTGAAACGGTATTAGTCCCTGAAATTCCCAGCTGCATGACCTTCACGTGGGGAAGTCTCAGGAACACAGCTCGAGCAGTTATGCTCAAGGCTTCTCACAGAGCTTCAACACTGTGTTTTGCATACCGGGTAGGTGCATAACATGCCTGAATTCAACAGAGTTGGCTCATATAATTGTATAAGTTAACAATATCAGAACTTTGGGGTTAACTTGCTATACTGGACAATATAAACACAGCAGCATAACAAAATCAGTCTAGGGGTTGGATCATGCCTCTGGAAACATTCCTATTTTACATAATCCTAAATCTTTAAAAGGTTCCCCCTTTGGAAAGTCTACCTGTTACTACTTTTTTTTCTCTTTCTTTTCTACCTGTTATTTTTAATCTTAATACACTTCATTAGAACCAGGAAGAAATTATGTCTCTACTACAAGCGACCTAAGTACAAGACTACAAAAATCAGTTTCTTTCAAAACAAGTAATATGCATGTAAATCAAGAAAACATATCATGACTTATCCTACCTTTAATTTAATGTATTCAGTATTCCTGGGTCTCTTAAAGTACTCTATATAAATTTACGGGAAGTCTCAATTTCTATAAAAAATTTTCAGTCAAGATTTTCTGCCTTTCATATCTGGAGACAAGCAAGGCTGCCTGATCATTTAAATATTTATCAGAAGCCAATAAACAAAGGAAACACAAAACCCTCACATTTAATACTAAGAATTCCTTGTAAGTCTACCATTTTCTCAGTGGTCTCCACATATTTGCTCTACGGTTTTTTGTTTTTGTTTTTGAAGGCAGTGAAATTCATGAGGGAAAAAACAAGTCTCAAAAAAAGGAATGGATGTTTAAGAGCAGGGAAGACAAAGGCATACATATTGTAAACTTAGACCATACACTGCAATAATGTCAAAGAAATCAGACTTACAGTCATTCCACAAAGAAAATGGTATGCCTAAATAAATGTTATTTTTCATGGCTTAGTTGTTGCAATAAAACATCCTTTAAGTTTAAAACGTTATGATTATCACATCTGCCCTTTAGTCACTTACTGTTAAAAAGGGATGTCTAGTGTTCTTTAATACTCTGCTTTCAGTTAGAGTATGTGCCACTTCGTCCTACAAAAGAAAAAGGCAAACCTTTAATATATGTACTAAGCACTAGTAATATCCAATTTTCACTATTTCTCTAAGACCAGAAGAGTTTAAACCCAGAGACAGAAAAAGATGTGAAGAGACGATGACGTGTTTCCTTTATTGCTATGCTACTCCTCCTAAACTCCTTCAAAAAAAGATCAAATTAATCATTTAAATCAGATGGTAAGATATAATAAACTTGAACACATTGAGTCTTACTTAATCAGATTATATTGCTAATGATACAAAAATCACCAAAAAGTTACCAGGGACACAGATGATGCAATAGTTAACCTCTCCCCTTGAAGGCAATGCCTTAGTGGCTAATATTTAGGCATGGAATAGTTAATATTTCCATGTTTGTAATACATCTTATTCAGGAGGATATAAAGGACGTATTTCAGTAAAGACCATAGAATTTGTAAGTCTCCTACTTAAGAGAAAAATCAGTTCCTGAAAATAGGAACACAGAATATATAGATAAGATTTTATTGTCAACTGTACATTTTAGAAATAGAAACAGAATATAAAAATTGTATCTTTCTGCTTGTGGCTTTTTAACGTGCCTCTTTAAAAAAAAGAAAGAAAGAAAGAAAAGTCACAACCTACTTTAGGTGAAAATTTTAAACATCTGGGTGTATCTCAAACCAAAAATAAGTGTATTTCCCCAATCTTGTACATAAATCTCATCTTGACATCAAAAATGAACTAGGAGATATTTTCTTCAACATATGGAGAACGGAAAAATGTTTCATATTTCAAAAATAACAGCATCTTCAAGAAGAAAGGAAAGGAAGACGCCGCTGAAACTAACGCTGCGTCTTCTGCTGTTTGCCTCTAGCAAGATTCGAAACGAAGCTCTTGCTGGATTAATGTCTCCTCACTGTCAGCAAATCACAATTAGATTGTAAGTAAGATGTGGAGAGCAAAACACTGGGTCACTGCATTATATTTATCATCTGACCTCAGTCAGACCTCGAAGATAAATGAGAAACAGACTGATCAAAGATGCTAAGCCCCGGAAGCCATTCCGAGAGGGCAGGAACAGCCACGTCTGAACAAGGCAAGTGAAATTAACAACATAATGTCTAAAACTGGTCGTGAAACAAAGCGTGGGTATGAAACCACGCCCGAATTATCTGTTTAATAAGAATCAGGCTTAAACGCTCAAACGATTCGAAAGCCTCTGTCACATCATACTATAGTTTCTAAACGAATCAGAAAAAGAGCACACGTCTTAGTGCAAACCAAATCACAAACAGAAATGACAGCCTAACTTACTGATTCTGCACTCACAGTGCCTAGCGTGATGAGCAGCAGACAGCAGAGACATAGTAAAGGTTTGCTGAACTGAACTCTTGCTTATCATAGGAATCAATTCCAGATGTCAGGGGCGTGGGACTTCATTAATTCAAACACTCATCCCTTCCACAAATACGCACCAAACCTACTCTGGGCTTGCTCTACACACTGCAAACATGGCCCCAAACAACAAAGACAAGGATCCCTGCCCTCGGGGAACTTTGTGTCTCCCCACACAGATGGTGATGAGGGTTCAAGGGGAAAAAGCAGAGGCCCTCCCGCAGTTCAGGGGATCACGCACGTGATGCACATGAACTCATCAGGAAGCATGATGCAGGCTACTCTGTGACAAACACAACCAAATCCAACCTTTAAAAACCAAAACCCTTGATGTGCCCTCAACTGAAGGCTGTTGACAGTGCAGGTATGAAGTGGTTTAAAAAACAACACCACAATCCCTCTGCTCATGGAGTCCCCAGCTAGTGCAGAAGACAGAACAGATGGGTAAATAACCAACTTAATAAGTAATTACTAATGCTGATGAGTGGCAGGAAGACAAGGGTGGGTACCCACTAGCCTCCGCGGGTAATGAAGAAAAACTAACATTACTGGAGAAGTGTATGGTGGGGGCTGTGGTGATGGGAGAGGCCGGGGGTGACATAATCTGACTTCTATTTTTAGAAGTTTACTCAGGCTCCTCTGAGTAGCAGGACAGCAAAAGTAGCAAGGATCAAGCAGGAGACAACAAGGAGTCCGAGAGAAACGAGGATGGCTCAGAGGACCGTGGTAGCAGCAGGAGCAGGAGAAAAGGGGGCTGTCTTGAGATCTTTTTGAGATACAAATTTAATAGTCATATCCAAAGGTTACCTGCCTCCAACATGAGGGTGTCTCAAAGGCAACATCTCTTCACAAGCAGTCAGAAGGAGAGTCACAAAAGAGCCACCATTTAATTTCTGCAGCTTGTGCTCGCAGATGCTAAGCCACTGGAGGCCAGATGTGAAACCCATTTGAAACCAGAAAACATATTCTAGTGCTTCAGAAAATATTTCCAGAGGGTAGTTCATGCTGCCTTTTCAATTTTTTTTTATTTTTTACAGATTTTATTTATTTATTTGACAGAGAGAGAGAGAGAGAACAAGCAGGGGGAGTGTCAGGGAGCAGGAGAGGGAGAAGCAGGCCCCTGGCTGAGCAGAGAGCCAGAAAAGGGGCTCGATCCCACAACCCTGGGATCGTGACCCGAGCTGAAGGCAGATGCTCAACCAACTGAGCCACCCAGGTGCCCCTTTTTTTTATTCATAAAGATTTATTTACTTATTTATTTGAGTCAGAGAGAGAGACTGTGAGTAGGGAGAAGAGTAGAGGGAGAGGGAGAGAGGGAGACAAGCAGACTCCCTGCTGAGCACGGAGCCCAAAGTGAGGCTCACTCCCACGACCCTGAAATCAGGATCTGAGCTAAAAGCAAGAGTCCGACGCTTAATCGACTGAGCCACGCAGGCACCCCCATTCTACTTTTTAAAACAGTCCCATCACATACAATAGTTTTCCTAAACCACTTCATAAGTTTCAGGAGTGAAGATTAGTCCCCACCGCCCCGCCCTGAGTTCTGCAATCTGCCTACCCACAGGGAAGGAGTCAAGGCACGATGTATGGAAACAAATGCTAAAACAGTATTTCTTTATTGTAAGAATGGGAACGGAATTAATACTGTGTATGTATCGTTCAAATATTAAAATGCATTTTCTACCATATTTTACATATGATCAGATTAGAATTCTTCCCCCTTAATGCAGATTTAATGGGACGCTACTTCACATACTAATTAGTTTCTGCAATGAAGATAAGGTATGCACAAGCTAAAAAGTAAACACAGATGCCAATAATTTTTAATTACAGTTAAAAGCAACATGTCAAAACAAAAATTTAAAAATAACAGTGATAAAACTTAGTGGCTAAAACAATGTGATGCTTTTTAAAAAACCCACTCGTTGATGAGGACTACAAATGAAGAGGGCTAAAAATGCTTGGGTGTGCAATAGGAGTGTAACGTTTTCCTGACAAAGCTTCTGAAATTCAGTTTCATGTATATTCATCCACAGCAAAATACTAACTAATGAATTTTTAAATCTAGTTTCTCTCCTAGGGATGGGACTTTATTTCTTGAGGCTATGAGGCTGAGAAGTGTCCTCCTCACATTTGTTTTCCCCATCTTTTCTAATTAATCACTCCCTTCTACTACACGTGGTCTAAAATTCTGCCTTCATTTGCCGCCCCCGTCCCCGTACTGTCGAGTGGTCGGTGGGTATTTCACGGGTGGTGAGGGGCAGGACATGGCAGGGAAGTAGAGGAAGAGAGCTCTAACCCACTATCAGGGACAACAAGGGTTTCATGTTCTTTAATCCCTATAGCAACTCAACAAGGTAGGCTTTATTATTCCCATTTTGCATGAAGAAACGGAGGCTCCCAGAAATTAACCTGCTCAAGCTGCAGGTGAAATGGGTGTCGAAGGCCCCGTCTAAGGCCCACGTTAAGGTCGGTTCGGCTCCACACCACTGCCCCCCATTCAAGGGCTCAGTATCCCCCTACTTGGGCACTTTCCACTCTGCAAAGTGCGAAGCACTTCCCTCCTCTGTCAGAGCAATAACAAAGGCCCAGGAGAGGAGAGGGCAAGGACAGGGAACAGCGCGCGCAGGGCAGAGCGGTCTGTGGCCCAAAACACTTACTCTCCATTAAACCACAGCGTCCCAGGGGTGGTTCGGTTCCTCTGTCTTGACGCCACAGGTTAGCGATGTATACACCTTTTTGTCCCACAGGAAAGACGTCATACTTTTCATGCTCTAAATGTGGGCTCCTAACTTCCCCTTTTTGAGCACATGGGCACTGCCCAAATCAGCCCTGACCTGCTCTCCCACTCTCCGGGCACCAGACTGGCTTTGCGCTGTGCCCTGACTGCTACTTCTCTTCTCCTTCTTTACCATTTTTTCACCTTGATGCAGAAAATGCAAGCACAGTCGTTCACTGCTGCCTATGAACACCGCATCACCTTTCTCAAGCGCTGTCATTTCATACTCTGTTCTGGATCCTCCGGTTCTAAGCAGTGCTTGGAAGGAGGGCTGCGTGGGCTCCTTTGACTTTGATCACAATGCAGTCACTTTGGAACCCAGTCTTTCCTAAATCGTAGACTATGTTGTTGGTTTATCCTGCCCTTCACTGCACTGCCTTCTTTCCTTCCACCCCTACCAAACCCCGACATTGGAATAAACCTGTCTCTACCTTCTCATCACATCTGAAGGGCAAAGAAGTCACATAAACACTGACTGGACCCATAACAGTTCCCTCTCCAACCTCAGCTCAATCTTCGAGGCTTCTTTCACCCCCTCTACTGAGGTCACTCTCCCAATCCTCGTTACGGCTGTCCTCAAACTTTCCAGGCTTCCTCCCATGCCTGGGACAGGTGCTACCTTACACCTGCCAAGCTACTGAGCTGGGACTGGGGCCCAGGTCTGTCAATTTCAAGTCCAGGAGCCTCTCATGAAGTTTCTCTCTTTATCTCAACGTTGCTCCTTCATCTTTTCAAAATGTGATCTACTTCCTTCGTGAAAAAGAAGTCATGAGTGATACTTGACACATTTGATGACACTCTCCTCCTGAAGACTTCTTCTCTTGGTTTCTAGAATATCAGA